ACATGTGGAAGAAAGTGTGGGGCTCCTTCGTGAACAAGTAGGCTGGGCACTATATAATAAATATCATAATTATTATTGTATTATCTCATTATCAACGAAAATGATATGATAAATTATTATATAATAAGTTTAAATGATAATATGATAATACCATTTAAACTTATAATATGGTATTAGTATTGGAGGTTATTATTATTTTTATCATATGATTATCAAATTTACCATTCATTCAAAACTTCTTCTTTTTTTTATTGGCAGAAGGTGCAATTCAGCCCCCCTACCTGCAATGTTGTGGGAGATCAGCCCCTGTACTAGAAACACTGGCAAATCAGCCCCTCTACTTCATGTTGTCCGCAAAACAACCCTTTTAGTGAGAATGACGTCATTCCACCGTTAGACCTGTCCATTGCTCGTCAAAGCTTGATGAGTTGGCGCTGATTGGGAGCTGAGTGGGCACTAATGTGGACCATTTTTGCTCCACCTGGGTTTACCGAGATGGTACTCCAATGCTTTTACTAAAGAACCCTTACCATAACAATAAAATTGGGGATCTAGGGTTTGAATCTCACAATCTCACCTTCTATTGAACTTTCCTTCTGTTTTGATTTCCTTCTGCTAATTTTAATTCCTTCCTCTGCTCATTTCAATTCCTTCTGAACTTGCTTGATTTCTTTCCCTCTATTTATTTTGCTTATTGAATACAGGTACAATAGCTTATTAACTTTGCTATGTAATTGACTGTCAAAAATCAGTAGAATACAAACTGATTTACTGTATATTTTGATTTATTTATTTGTCTTCTGTTTTAAGTGGTAAATTCTTGTTTGTTATGAATGAATGGAAACATGTTATGTAATTGATTACCAAAAATCAGTAGAATGCAAATTGATTTACTGTACATTTTGCTCTGTTTATTTCTCTCTTGTTTTAAGTGCTAAATTCCTGTTTAACATAGATAGATTATGAATGGAAACATGGACAGATTTCTCAAAATATTACATTTTTATATCATGGCCAATTGCTAAAATACATGGAGTGCCAGGTTTTGGCAAAGTTTCGATACTACAGAATCATACACATCCTACAAAATCCTCTCCTACCCATAACCTGCCCAGGAACAAATGACACTGTATTCAGTGAACCTAATCCTTCATTACAAATACAACTAACATTGCAATCACAAAAGCCAAGAGGCTTTCTCTCAATAAGCAAGAGACAGTATGTGCTAAACTCCCCTACAAATTCTCCTGCAAGGCAGAACATGTCCATCCGCTATTGGTGCCTCTCCATCCGCTGTTGGTGCATGTCTTTTGGATTCAACTACCCGTATTTCACTGGTTGAAGCTGGCCCAGGAACACCTCCAGTTATTTTATCCAAAAAGGAACGAGGATCCTTGACAGTAAAAGACAAAACTGCACAGGACTGGACATCTTTCTCATTTTCAGGTACAGAGAAGCTCTCAACTTCATAATCATTATCACCCTTTACAACTGAACATTTTTGCAATTGCCAAGAATCCTCTGAATAGCTGCAGCAGAAATAAGTTTGACTAATATTATTATCCCAGCTAAAAATGGTTGATATCTTCCTCTAAATAACTTACCTATTAGCAGGATGAAATGTTTTCTTAAGCAGCTGAAATGCCTTTGGTCCAATTAACTCCAATTTTGCAAGTTGACCTTCACGTGAAAAACAATTAATCACAATCCTCCTCTCATTCATCTGCATGATAATTAAACATGGAAATGAGAACATAAAATATAAACAGCATCCAATAAAGAGAATAAGAATAAGAGATTAGTGATCCACTGATTCAAAGAGAACCAAGCATACATTCAGCCTAACAAAACAGGGGACAGCACTGATTCAAACAGAACAAAAAATGGAACAGATATGCATACCTTTTTTTTTCTTCAAAAAGCAATTTGGAACAGCCCAATTGTCGTAGTTCCCTTTTTCCTTTCTCCACACTCGCTCTAACGAACTTCTTCGACTTGCTCCTCCGGTAAGAGTTCAGATTATCCATGTCCAAATCCGAATCAAAATCAAGATTCGACGCCAAATTGCACTGCGTTTCCAAATCAATCGCGTTCACTTGAGAGATGATCTCCTTGTCCTGGTAAACAATCTTTTCTATCGAGAGTTCTGCAGCATCTTCTGAAGATGGCAGTTGGCGATTTTCAGTGTTTCTGAGGACTTCCTCGTAGAGTTCATCCTCGGCATTGTTGGCTCCGAGATTCTCTACGGACACTCTGTCAGACTTGGCGAGGAGAGTAGCGGTGATGACATTGCAGAGGAGGAAGACGAACAGATGACTAGCGATGATGTCGCCAAGTTTGGCAGAAA